ATTAGCATATTTCCCACAAAATTGACAGAATTTGTCCCATTTATTTTTATAATAAGCCAATATTGCCTGACTGTGAAGCAAATATTGTCCGACTGGCTTTGTTTGCCCAACAAACTGGAGGGGTGGCCACCCCCCACCCGGTACGCCCATGGTGTTTACATGGTAAAATACTGATAATTGCCTAGATCTCCCCTCTTTCTGCTTGGACTGCCCGGTTGTGTAACGTTAATTAATAGTCACCCAGGAGAACTACTTCATTAAATTCCCAGATAGCCCAGATCTTGCTGATGCCTAGAAACCCATCTTGCCAGGTAATTCCATATAAACAGACCCCAAAAAGGGGAGACATAATTACGATTTATTCTTTCCACTAGTATTAGCTATGGGTATTTGTAATAATTAGACACAGGTCACACAGCTGTTATGTTGAAAAAGTACAATTTTGTTGTGCATAGTTGCACGAAGTTGGGGAGTTGGTATACTTATACAGACACCGGCATATTATCCATGCAGTTGGTGGTACACTGGTGCATATATGTATATTTAGGCTATAGAGCCCATTTACTGTGGACATATTAACTATGCTTTGATGCTGACCACTACATGCTGTACAGCAAAACCTTGACAACAGTTCACATAACATTAAAACTCTGTAAACAATGGTAGCAGTAGCTGGGGGACAAATGAATAATAACACTATGATGTTGACATTGAAATTGTTGATTAGCTATTGCAAGATTCTCTAAGCACTCCGATATCGAGCAACCATGACCGACCATAGGCATGGGTCCCTACAGAGTGCAGGAGGAATCCTGAGTGCCCTGAAAAAAAACGTGTTACTTTATTCTGCAAGAACTGAACCCCTATTTCTCTATATTTTTCATTTCATCTTGGTAAACAATACAACAATACAACATCAAGTTCCAATCCTTTTTGTTAGTGGATGTACCCCTCCTGATTTTCTAATGCATTAGCAAACCAATCAAATTCATTTGTAAAGCAAATTAACCAATAGGAACGCAGAATACCGTCTCCAAGACACTGAGCTGTACGGGGTTCGATCATGCCAGCGTGAAAATAGGTTGCATGTTTCATTGGATTTTTTTCGCTTTTGGTTCTAGTATAAAGGTGAAATAATCCTATTCAAGGTCAGTTTTCGTTAATCGAGTTCACTAAGAATATCTTTTAATAGTTCAACTAATTTTATTGCTTTCTTTGTCGCGATATATAAATAAGGTGCTATATGGTTTCTGAGACTGGTTGTTCGAAAGCCAATAGCTTATAAACCTTTGGTTAACCTAAAATTCAAAGCAAACTTCTGTAAAACTTCCTATAATTTTGAGAAATATTGTCTGAGTCAGTGGGTGTTTTCTTTTCTGACGTTTTGAAATAAACAGACATCAGATGTGCAGAAATACATAAACTAAAACAGAAGATTAAATTTGAACACATACTGCAAATCCAGGTTTGACTAATCTTGTGTGTTTGTTTGCTTTGCATAGATGGGTGAAAAGCTGGAAGATAGAGAACTAAACGCCCTTTGTAAGTTGTTTATTGGTGGGCTACCTCGTGTTATTACAGACGAAGACCTTGAAATTTACTTCTTAAAATTTACCCCGGATGAGTCGCTGAACGACTGCATTGTTATTAAAAACAAGGAGGACAAACAGTCTCGAGGATTTGGTTTTGTTACTTACAACCGACTTGCCGATGCCGACAACTGCTTAGCAAGTGGACCACATAATATTGGTGGTAAGGATGTCGAAGTGAAGCATGCTATACCAAGGGATGAAAAACTGCCTGCAAATCATATTCGTACCAACAAGATTTTTGTAGGTGGGCTTACTAAGGAAACTACTGAAGAAGATATTAGTGAAGCTGTACAGAACCATGTGCTTGCGTGTGGCAAGAGCCTTAATGCCGAAGTTACAAAGGTGGAGATTATTAAAACGAAAAAGGAAGACGGTGTTGACCCACCAGTTTCACGTGGGTTTGCCTTCCTTGACATGGCAACCAATGCAGATGCTGATAAAGTTGTGATTGTAAAACATTTTAAAATCAACGGGAAACAAGTAGAATTAAAGAAAGCTGCGCCTAAAGGGGGAGCTGGTAGTGGAAGAGGTGGTGGACGTGGTGGTGGTGGTAGGGGTTCTGGACAGTTTGGTGGTGTCAGTGGTGGTTGGGGTGCTGGTGCCTATAATGGTGGTCTCTACAATGCAGTTGGGTTTGGTTTTAGTGGTGGATATGGCTATGGTGATGGTGCTGGTTATGGTGGATACAGAGGTGGTTACAGTGGTGGCTATGGAGATAGTAGTGGTATGTTTGGTCAATATTCCCAGCAGTCTTCTGGATTTGGACCATCTCATGGTGGACGAACTCGAGGACGTGGACGTGGCAATGCACCATACTGAAACATGTTTTATGTAAGTATTTAGACCTTCATCTTTAGAGTTACCGGGAAGAAAGGATTGGGAAGCATGTGTGAGTAAATGCATGATTATTGACATACAAAGGCTAAAACATAGGTAGACTGTTTTTTAGCAAAAGTTCTTTTCTGATAAAAGTTCTTTCCTTTGGGATTGTCAACAAATAGATCTTATGTACGTGAAGACAGATTTGTTCTGCAATTGTTTTGACCCTGTCCCCTATCACACTTTTTAAATCCGAATTATTAAAGGGGAAGTCAAGTCCGTTCTGCGCATCGGTTCTGCGCATAACAATAGAGGGCCCTCTGAGGTAAACATTGCCCAAATTTTGAATGTTTCGAATTTTTCTGAACACAAACTCTACTTCATATTCATGTAGAAGCATAACGAACCAAAATGGTGTTAGATATTCAGACAGTACATCATATTTTAAAAAATACAGCAGTTCAAAATGTAAACAAACCGTTTGTTTACATTACGGACTTGACTTCCCCTTTAACTCGTTGAGCCGCAATGCGCCCTACTTTTTTTTTACTTGTCCAACACCAGACGATTTTACTCGTTAATTAATGGGGAAGCTCTGCAGCTTAATGGGTTAACAAAAAAATCTGACAATGTCTCTAGTTAACCTATTGAGCCGCAGTTTATTTATTTTTACTTGTCCAACGTGACACAATTTTACTCGTCAATGGGGAAGCTCTGCAGCTTAATGGGTTAAATAATTGTGGATTCTGAGCCAACACCCCATCCCACCCCACCTGTGTGAACAAAGATAAAATGTATTTGTCAACAGTCCCACACCATTCATTGTTGTGAACTTTATACACAATTCCTCCTAACTGTTGCATACCATTTTGCTTCTCCAGTAACATTCTTGCTTTTTGGTAGAGTCTGCATTATATTTCTGTTTCATTGCTTTAGGTTACGTTATCTTCTTGAGATGTTGGTTAAGGTTGCAGTGATTGGTTAAGCGTTTACAGTAGTCTCAAGACAATTGTATCTACAGTACCATTAGCTTAAAGACTGAATAATTAAAAGTTGAAGCAAACACAAGATTTAGCCGTTTGATGCAGAACTAGAACTGTCTGAAGGCCATTTTCCATTGCAGTTGCTCTGCCCGTGCGGGTGGAGCGAAATTACTCGACTTTCTCTGTAGTTGCCTAACCTGTGCATTTTTTGTCCGCCTGAATGCTCGCGGACACGCCATGAAAGTAGAACTACATTCAACTTTCTTGGCGTGCCCGGGCGACTGATTTTTCACATGATTAAAATTGGTCGCTCCGCATGGCAAAGCGACTGCAATGGAAAATGGCCTTAAGATGAAGGATTTCATAACAAGGATGAACATAGCCATTTCATTGTAGTTGTTAAACTTGTATACCTTTCATTTTAAGATAATTTTACCTATCTTGTTAAAGCTATTACCATTAAATTTTGATTAATAAAGCCCAATATTTTTAACCTAAGGCAAAGGTATAATGTTCTAGAACACCACCAACCTGTTTCACAGGGTCTCGCCTCTGCCATGCCCCCTAAACACATGTGTTTGATATGCAAATATTCCTATTTTAGTTGTTTATAATGCCGCCTGACTGTTTGGCCAAACTCTTGGCATTAATCCTTTAAGCATCTGTGCTCTCTCCTTGACAAGGAAATTGTTTGGCATCAGACAGAGTAAAATAATAAAGTAGGGTGCTTTAGGCCATAATGCAACTTGATTGGGTTAATTGTGGAGTGACAGCAATCAAAAACAGCTACAATGTAGTGTTTTAAGTAAAAATTTTGAAATTTCAGCATCATATTATTTGAATATTAATACTATAATATTATGTGACTGTAGGAAATATTCTGTTTACGCATACAATACAACCACGCACCCTGCAACATAATTACTGTAATACAAGCAAAAACTCTGGAACAAAAGCCATTCGACCAAAAACATCAACACTGATTTCATTTTTGATAAAGGGGCACAAAATGACAAAAAAAGTAAGGCTACAGCCTTCACTTTTCGTCCATTTTCAGCCACATTTTCATTTTTGAAAAAGGGGCAAAAGTGATAAAAAAAAGTAAAGCTATAGTCTTAGCTTTTCGTCCATTTCTAGCCACTTATTTCATTTTTGATAATGGGGCACAAAATGACAAAAAAGTGAGGCTGTAGCCTTAACTTTACGTGATAAAAGGGGCACAACATTTTCGTCCATTTTTAGCTACTTTTTTCATTTTTGAAAAAGGGGGAAAAAATGGTAATAAAGTAAGGCTATAGCCATAACTCTTCGTCCATATTTAGCCACTTATTCCATTTTTGAAAAAGGGGCAAAAATGACAAAAAAGTAAGGCTAAATAGCCTTAACTTTTCGTCCATTTTTAGCCACTTATTTCATTTTTGAAAAAGGGGCAAAAATGACAAAGAAGTAAGGCTATAGCCCTAACTTTTCGTCCATTTTTAGGCTATTTAGCCACTTTTTTCATTGTTGAATAAAGGGGCACAAAGATAAGGCTATATATAGCCTTAACTTTCGTCCATTTTTAGCCACTTATTTTTGAAAAAGGGGGAGAAAAATGACAAAAAATAAGGCTATAGACTTAATGTTTCGTCCATTTTTAGCTACTTTTTCATTCTTGAAAAAGGGGCAAAAATAGCAAAAAAGTAAGGCCATAGATAGCGTAAAAGTAAGGCTATAGCTTTAAGAGAGAAAGAATTAAGTAGAATAGAAAAGGAGTTACAGCAAGTGAAGGCGAGATGGTCTAGTGGTAACGACTGAAGTGTTGCAGACTTACTTATTTGACTTACTAAGTTGACTTGCTTACTAACTTGACTCCACTTACTAACTTGACTTGCTGACTTACTTCACTCTACTTACTTACTAACTTGACTTACTTTACTCTACTAAAGAGAACACGTTAGAATAGGATTTGTTCATATTTTCCTCGAAAAAATAAAAAAATAATTGGTTTGGGTATCGGTGCCATGGCACAGGCCACAGAGCACCCAAACCATTTATTTTATTTTTTTCGGGGAAAATAAAACAAATCTTATTCTAACGTGTTCCCTTGCTCTAGCAAAAATTTGAATTTACTCCGGTCTGAAAATTGTATTTTTGGAATCTATGTTCAATAGGCTTTCTGTCGATACCTCATTCTTGCTAGTCTGCGAACAGGCTCTTTGAATTGAATTAGAGCCTGCCGGTTTAGTCAATAAAAATACGTCTGTGCCCATCACTATTATTATCACAAGTTTATATAGCGCTTATAACACATAGATCTAAGCGCTTTACATTCATTAATCTAGAAATTTACAATAAAATATAACAAATTTCCTAATTATTACTTATATACACTTATAAATTTATATACATCTATAAATCATAGGCTGTTTTAAACATGTGGGTCTTAAGCTTACTCTTAAATTCAGAAAAATACAGACACGCCTGATCAGAGACGCCTTAATATGTAATAGCCTGCGAATATATGTAAACGAAACGCAAATCTCGATTTCAACGCATGATTGTACACAACAAGTCTGTAATGTCAAGTTGGAAAAAAACTACAAAAACATTTACGCGCAAAAAATATCGGGATTGTGAGAGAGGTCCAGAATGATCTGAAAGATTATGCGGGACATCCATAAAAATAAAATGTGCATTTTGAATTTGTATTTTCCTTTCTCCAGTCTACGTCCCAATGACGTGAGACTCGTCTATAACAAAAGCAGCCAAACGATTACGCAAATGACAACTTGAATATTTTAAAGCACCAACTGAACACTTGTCCGATCCAAATATGTTCGGTTCGTCACTAACGGCGCAAACCGAGCTCATATCAAGGTCCTTAGCTTCTTCCATTTGTCCTCAGCGTGAGGAACCTTGTCCTCTTGGTGAGGAACCTTGTCCTCTAGGTGAGGAACCTTGTCCTCAGCGTGGGAACATTGTCCTCAGCGTGAGGAACCTTGTCCTCAGCGTGAGGAACCTTGTCCTCAGCGTGAGGAACCTTGTCCTCAGCGTGAGGAACCTTGTTCTCAGAGTCAGGAACCTTGTCCTCAGGGTGAGGAACCTTGTCCTCAGCATGAGGAGCCTTGTCCTCAGCGTGACAAACCTTGTCCTCAGCGTGATAAACCTTGTCCTCAGAGTCAGGAACCTTGTCCTCAGCGTGAGGAACCTTGTCCTCAGCGCGAGGAACCTTGTCCTCACCGTGAGGAACCTTGTCCTCAGGGTGAGGAACCTTGTCCTCAGCGTGAGGAACCTTGTCCTCAGCGTGAGGAACCTTGTCCTCAGGGTGAGGAACCTTGTCCTCAGAATCAGGAACCTTGTCCCCAGGGTGAGGAACCTTGTCCTCAGCGTGAGGAACCTTGTCCTCAGCGTGGGAACATTGTCCTCAGCGTGAGGAACCTTGTCCTCAGCGTGAGGAACCTTGTCCTCAGCGTGAGGAACCTTGTCCTCAGCGTGAGGAACCTTGTCCTCACGGTGAGGAACCTTGTCGTCAGCGTGAGGAGCCTTGTCGTCAGCGTGAGGAGCCTTGTCCTCAGCGTGAGGAGCCTTGTCCTCAGCGTGAGGAGCCTTGTCCTCAGCGTGAGGAACCTTGTCCTCAGCGTGATAAACCTTGTCCTCACAGTCAGGAACCTTGTCCTCACAGTCAGGAACCTTGACGAGGTTCCTCACGCTGAAGACAAGGTTCCTGACTCTGAGGGCAAGGTTCCTCACCCTGAGGACAAGGTACCTCATCCTGAGGACAAGGTTCCTCACCATGAGAACAATGTTCCTGACGCTGAGGACAAGGTTCCTCACCCTGAGGACAAGGTTCCTCACCCTGAGGACAAGGTTCCTCACCCTGAGGACAAGGTTCCTCACGCTGAAGACAAGTCTCCTCACGCTAAGGACAAGGCTCCTCACCCTGAGGGCAAGGCTCCTCACCCTGGGGACAAGGTTCCTCACCCTGAGGACAAGGTTCCTCACGCTGAGGACAAGGTTCCTCACGCCGAGGACAAGGTTTCTCACGCTGAGGACAAGGTTCCTGACTCTGCATGAGGACAAGGTTCCTGACTCTGAGGGAAGGTTCCTCACCCTGAGGACAAGGTTCCTCACGCTGAGGACAAGGTGCCTCACGCTGAGGACAAGGTTCTTCACCCTGAGGACAAGGTTCCTCATCCTCACCTTGTTCTCAGCGTGAGGAACATTGTCCTCAGCGTGAGGAACCTTGTCCTCAGGGTGAGGAACCTTGTCCACAGAGTCGGAACCTTGTCCTCAGCGTGAGGAGCCTTGTCCTCAGTGTGAGGAACCTTGTCTTCAGCGTGAGGAACTTTGTATATATATATATATATATTCTTGGAACTTTGGAACTTTGTATATATATATATATATATATATATATATATATATATATATATATATATATATATATACAAAAGAGGCGACCGCAGAAAACAAAATTAGCTACTAATACTTTTGTATTTGAGCGAAAACTTTTAAAAGCTCTTGTCTTTCTTCCAAACAACGACCCTGAAATTCCCTGAAGTAGCAATAGTAAGTGAATTCACATAAACACCCAACGACTTGAGTTTGAACAACTACAGCGTACTAGAATGCTCAAGAATGCAAATTATAGTCGCCTCTGTCTCAGAGTAAAGATGTTATTGTTGATATAAGAACGTTGCCGTTGTATTTGCCAAACTCTCTTATACAGCGAAAACATCGTTTCTGTGTAGAGTATTGTTAAGAGCTTTTGACTGCCCATCCTTAACAAAAATTTAGTTTTACAACTCGTCTAATACATTTTTTATCGCTATAAAGCGATATCTTTCGATTTCCGCACCTTGTGTTGACACCTTGAATCTATTGTTGTGTAAATGTCATTTGATTACCTTTTATGGCAATTAATAACCAACTACTCAATTTCAACCAATGGGAATCCTGCGCCTTTCTTTTGTTCTATTGAATTTCAAGGGCCCTTGTAGCAAAAACTTGAATTTGCGCCGATCTGAAAATCGCAGCTTTGGAATCTACGTTCAATAAGCTTTCTGTCGCTGCCTCATTCTTGCATAACTAGATAATCCGTGGACATAGAAAGCAAGTTTTTCCAGCTGCGTAGTCGAAAAAGACGTGAAAGTTAATATTATGCTATTTCGAACCTGATGTTCTATTGAATTTCAAGGCCGCTTGTAACAAGAACTTGAATTTGTCACGGTCTGAAAATTGTACTTTTGGAATGTACGTTCAATAAGCTTTCTGCCGATGCCTCATTCTTGTATAACAAGACAGACCGTGAACATAAAAATGTCCTATTGAATTTGAAGGCTCCTGTAGCAGAGTCTTGAATTTGGGCCAGTCTCAAAATTGTATTTTTGGAATCTACCATCAACAGGCTTTCTGTCGATGCCTTATTCAGGCATCCCAAGGCCGTACGTGGAGTTAAAAAGCAGGTTTTTCCAGCTGTGTAACGAAAAAGACGCGAAAGTTAATATTATATGCTATTTCGAACCTTTTGTTCTATACAATTTCAAGACCCCTTGTAGCAAAAACCGGAATTTACGCCGATCTGGTAATTGTATTTTTGGAATCCAAGGTCCATAGCTTTCTGTCGATGCCTCATTCTTGCTTAACAAGACAGTCCGTGGACATAAAAAGCAGGTTTTTCCAGCTCTGTAATCGAAAAAGACGTGAAAGTTAATATTATGCTGTTTCGAACCTTATGTCCTATTGAATTTGAAGGCTCCTGTAGCAGAGTCTTCAATTTGGTCCAGTTTAAAAATTGCATTTTTGGAATCGACGATCAATACGCTTTCTGTCGATGCCTTATTCAGGCATCGCAAGGCCGTACGTGGAGAAAAAAAGCGGGTTTTTTCAGCTGTGTAATCGAAAAAGACGTGAAAGTTAATATTATGCTATTTCGTGCCTTTTGTTCTATTGAATTTCAAGACCCGTTGTAACAAAAACTTGAATTTATCACGTTCTGAAAATTGTAGTTTTGGAATTTACGTTCAAACATCTTTCTGCCGATGCCTCATTCTTGTATAAGAAGATAGTCTGTGAACATAAAAAGCAAGTTTTTTCAGCTGTGTAATCGAAAAAGACGCGAAAGTTAATATATATACGCTATTTCGAACCTTTTGTTCCATTGAATTTCAAGACCCCTTGTAGCAAAAACCGGAATTCATCCAGTCTGAAAATTATATTTTTGGAATCCACGGTCCATAGGCTTTCCGACGATGCCTCATTCTTACATAACGAGACAGTCCCTGGACATAAAAAGCAGGTTTTTCCAGCTCTTTAATCGAAAAAGACGTGAAAGTTAATATTATGCTGTTTCGAACTTTATGTCCTATTGAATTTGAAGGCTCCTGTAGCAGAGTCTTGAATTTGGGCCACTCTCAAAATTGTAGTTTTGGAATCTATGGTCAATAGGCTTTCCGCCGATGCCTTATTCAGGCATCACTAAGCCATATACGTGGAGAAAAAAGCAAGTTTTCCCAGCTGTGGAATCGAAAAAGGCGTGAAAGTTAATATTATGCTATTACGCACCTTTTGTTCTATTGAATTTCAAGGCCCCTTGTAGCAAAAACTTGAACTTGTCACGGTCTGAAAATTGCATTTTTGGAATCCACGGTCCATAGGCTTTCTGTTGATGCCTCATTCTTGCATAACTAGACAGTCCGTGGACATAAAAAGCAAGTTTTTCCAGCTGTGTAATCGAAAAAGACATGAAAGTTAATATTATGCTATTTCGTACATTTTGTTCTATTGAATTTCAAGGCCCCTTGTAGCAAAAATTTGAATTTGTCACGGTCTGAAAATTGTAGTTTTGGAATCTACGTTCAATTAGCTTTCTGCCGAGCCTCATTCTTGTATAACAAGACAGTCCGTGAACGTAAAAAGCAAGTCAGTTTTTTTCAGCTGTGTAATCGTAAGAGACGTGAAAGTTAATATTATGCTATTTCGTACTTTTTGTTGAAATTGTTCTATTGAATTTCAAGGCCCCGTGTAGCAAAAACTGGAATTTGTCATGGTCTGAAAATAGTATTTTTGGAATCTACGTTCAATAAGCTTTCTGTCGATGCCTCATTCTTGCACAACAAGACAGTCCGTGGACATAAAAAGCAGGTTTTTCCGGCTGTGTAATCGTAAGAGACGTGAAAGTTAATATTATGCTATTTCGAACCTTATGTCCTATTGAATTTGAAGGCTCCTGTATAGCAGAGTCTTGAATTTGGGCCAGTCTCAAAATTATATTTTTGGAATCTACGGTCAATAGGCTTTCTGTCGATGCCTTATTCAGGCATAACTATAGGCCGTATGTGGAGATAAAAAGGTTTTTGCAGTTGTGTAATCGAAAAAGACGTGAAAGTTAATATTATGCTATTTCGTACCTTTTTTCTATTGAATTTCAAGGCCCCTTGTAGTAAAAACTTGAATTTGTGACGGTCTGGAAATTGTATTTTTGGAATCTACGTTCAACAAGCTTTCTGTCGATACGCGATGCCTCATTCATGTATAACAAGACAGTCGGTGAACATAAAAAGCAAGTTTTTTCAGCTGTGTATTCGAAAAAGACGCGAAAGTTAATATTATGCTATTTCGAACCTGATGTTCTATTGAATTTCAAGACCCCTTGCAGCAAAAACGTGAATTTACCACGGTCTGAAAATTGTATTTTTGGAATCTACGGTCAATAGGCTTTCTGTCGATGCCTCTTCCTTGCATAACTAGACAATACGGGGACATAAAAAGCAAGTTTTTCCAGCTGTGTAATCGAAAAAGACGTGAAAGTTAATATTATGCTATTTCGAACCCGATGTTCTATTGAATTTCACGGCTCCTTGTAGCAAAAACGCGAATTTGCCACGGTCTGAAAATTGTATTTTTGGAACCTACGGTCAATAGGCTTTGTGTCGATGCCTCATTCTTGGATATAACTAGACAGTCTGTGGACATAAAAAGCAAGTTTTTTGAGCTGTGTAATCGAAAAAGACGTGAAAGTTAATAGTATGCTGTTTCGAACCTGATGTTCTATTGAACTTCAAGGGGGTGTTTGTATTCCGAGTAATGAGTATGAGTAATGAATTTTCGTACTTGCTATGGAAAGATAAAGCATGAAAACATTGACTGTATGGTTCCACTCACTCCTTGCCGTGAATATTATGGCCATGTTGATACTGCTGACACTGTAACAGCATTATGATGGACAGCAATGAGTGAGTGCAGTCAATGTTTTCATGGTTTAGTCCAAAGCAAGTACGAAAATTCATTACTCATTACTCGGTAATACAAACACCCGGCTTCACGCACTTGCAACACTTTGTCCTATACCACTAGACCATCTCGCTTACACTTGCTTCCCTTTTTATTCTGCTTAACTTTTTCTCGTTTCGGGTTGAAAAAATTCTTTTGACACAACCAGGAATCTAACCTAGCTTCATATGCACTTGCAACACTTTGTCCTTACCACTAGACCATCTCGCCTATACATTTGTTTGAACTCCTTTTTTATTCTACTTAACTCATTCTCGTCTCGAATTGATTAACAACGCCGCCTGACATTAAAATGCGTTTGATACAAGCAGGAATCGAACCTGGCTTCACGCACTTGCAACACTTTGTCCTTACCACTAGACCATCTCGCCTACACTGACGTTATCGCCAATATTTTAGGCCTACTTTCAACATTTATGGCCTCGGAAATTGAAGGGGTTAGCCTTTACTTTTTGTCTTTTTTGGCCTATTTTTAGGAAAAAAACGCCATAAAATAACAAAAAGTTAAGGGGTTAACCTTAACTTTTTAACCTTTTTTCAGAAATAAAATAATTGCTAAAAATGAGCGAAAATTTAAAAGGTCAACCTTAATTTTTTGGCGATATTTGGCCTATTTTATAGAAATAAATAAACGGTCTAAAATGGACGATATATAAGAGGTTAGCCTTTACTTTTTTAGCCTTTTTTCCCATTTTTTGCTCCTTTATAAAAATGAAAAAAAGGGCTAAAAATGGACAAAAAGTTAAGGGGTTATAAACTTTGCCTTTTTTGATATTTTTTTTTTACATTTCTCAAAATTGGAAAAAATGGCAAAAACTCGACGAAACATTAAGGGTTTAGCCTTACCTTTTTGCCATGCATGTTTTGCTCGTTTTTCAGAAATGAAAAAAGTTAAGGGGTTACCCCCTGCCTTTTTCACTATTTTTGTGCCGGATTTCAAAAATTGAAAAAAGGCTAAAAATGGAGGGAAGATTAAGGGTTAGGCCTTACCTTTTTCGCTATTTTTTACACATTTCTCAAAAGTGGAAAAAAGGGCTAAAATGAACAAATAGTTAAAGGCACAGTTCAGCCTTTCTAATGATGCATGGTTTTTAAGGCACATTTCAGCCCTTTTAATTGAACTAGGAAAATCAATAATGCATAATTCAAGGATCAGTAAACTTAATATTTTTAACATTTTAAAACATTTTTATTGTTAAAAACATCGAGTTTACTGATCTTGAATTGTTTTTCCTTAAGTGACATTTTTTTCAAAAATAAAAAGAGGCTGAGATATTTGATCAATTTTTCAAAAATAAAAGTGGCTGAAAATGGGCAAATATTTATGAGGTTAGATTTTACTTTTTGCCATTTTTTGCCACAGACTTTCAACATGTGAAAAACTGGTCAAATTTGGCAAAATGTTAAAGGGGGTTATGGAGTATTTTGGGTTATGGAGTATTTTGGGTTATGGCGATTTTTGGCTACTCTTTAAAATGATAAAGGTGACTAAAAAAGATAAAAGCTGCCGTCTTGACTTTTTGTCGACAAGATATAAAGGCAACTACTTTTTTTCATCATTTTGCCACTTTTTCATATTCTAAAATTGTTAATGGATTAGCCATTTCAAATTGTTAATCGATTAGCCTTTACTTTTAGGTCGATTTTGGCGTCTTTTTCTAAGCTATAATAGATAATAGTTGCGCGAAGTCATCTGAAATTAATATGAATGGGAAGAAACATGCATTCTACTGTTGTAGTTGTTGCTGTTAAAATTATAATACTAGAGACATAACTGTAGTTGATACAAAACTTTTTAAAATTCACTATTTTACAATTTCAGTATTTTCACAAGTACATACTCTCCTACAATTTCGTTTCACTTGTCGTGTGCAGGCATTGTGACACCAGCATTTCTGGTCGTTTGAATATTCTTGATATGGGGGCCAATTTGAGCAACAATATGTAGGGCAACTGGGAGTACATGTTTGAGTGCATGTTGAGGGACATGTGGGTGGTGGTGAGGGTAAACGATGGATAATTGGTGGGGGTACTGGGGGTGAATGGAGGATAATATGAGGTTGTGGTGGTGGGTCATGTACTATTATAATATTTGGAAGTTTACATGGGTTCAAATGACCTGAACTAAAACAAGGCCCTGAGTCTGTTTTGATTTCACCTTGAGATACACTTGGGATTACCTGTTGTACACCAGGGGATCCTGGCGGCCCAGGGGAACCTGGATGTCCCGGAGGTCCTGCAGGCCCCTGAGGTCCCTGTTGTCCAAGTACACCGGGGGTTCCAGGGGGGCCAGGGGGTCCGGGAGGACCATAGCTCGTACATATGGGCATTGTGAGAAGTCTGAACGGTGAAGAATCTTCAAATTCATCTGTGCGCGTTTCACCTGACGTTTGGTGGCTCTTTGACAGTCTATTTGACATTTTTGGTATGTCCGACCTTTGTGTGAGAATTGTTGCTTCTTTCGGGTTGTCGTTTATGTTTAATGGGTCAAAAACAGGATTAATATCTTTGTCCAAAACAGGTTTATGTTTCTCTGAAACCGGTTTAGCATTGTACAAAAAACGTTCATCTTTATTTAAAACAGGTTTTAAGTATTTGTCTGGTTTTACTTCTTTGTCTCTGCATATTGGCCTAGTACACCTGGGGTCTTTGCAGGAACATACTGACACCATATTAGGGAGAGTTATGGATATTTGATGTGATACTGTTTCTTTCTCTTTGGGTGCTCTATGTGGAGTTTTCCCACTCGGCCTGATTATCCTAATCGATCCAGGCTTTCCAGGAGAACCCGGCGCACCCGGAGCTCCAGCTATCCCTGGCGGTCCTCGGATGCCTATCCGTCCCATCATGCCTGGCGGTCCTGGTGGGCCAGAAGGACCTGGGCGTCCAGGGCAGAGTATCCTCATTTTCTTAGGTGGCGCTGTGGGTTGAGTTGGAGGCTGCGTTGGTGTCGGTGCCGGTGTTGTTGTTATCGCTAAGAAATAATTTTCAAAATCAATTTGTTGTTCAGGTAGCCTTGACTGCATTTCTAATGGATAGCTTTATTTGCTCTCTCTAAACAACACTTTCATGTTTTTATCACTTAAGACTCATGAGGCCTGTTTCAAATGTCGTGCTTCTCATGTACCGAACGCATTAGAAACAATATATATATATATATATATATATATATATATATATATATATATATATATATATATATATATATATATATAATATATACAATTTTAATTATATAATATCATATATGGACCACCTGATGATTCCTATACGGATGAAAAGACTGTTGTGGTTTTTTGAGGTAAAACGAAAAACTATATTACGCTCTATCTATATGGTATTGAGCACTGTTTGTGTTTCGTAAACCAAAATCTTAAGCATATATATATATATATATATATATATATATATATATATATATATATATATATATATATATATATATATATATATATATATATATATAATTGTACACTCCGTCATATGTTAAGATGAAAATGTTCTAGAGTGTGTATTATATAATTTCCATACCCAGCGCAAGCAGAAGATGTTGTCTGCCGCGGCTGGGTCTTGAACCCGCGACCTAACACAAATAACATAACACTTGCAGAACTAGTATTGTTCGATGCTGAATTAATATAAACGAGTATGTTTGTGACATTCAGTATATATTTCATAATTTCCAGTCTTAAATCCATCTGACCGTGTACTCAGTTGGTAGAGCGTCGATCTAGTAATTCGAAGGTCGCGGGTTCAAGACCCAGCCGCAGCTGGGTATGGAAATTACATAATACACACTAATATATATATATATATATATATATATACATATATTATATATACATATATATATATACATATATATATATATATATTATATATATATATTATATATATATATATATATATATTATATATATATATATATATATATATATATATATATATATATATATATATATATATATATATATATATATATATATATATATATGAATATAATTTTTTATTTAAAAAAATTTAAAAAAGACTTCTACAGGCAATAAAAAAATTAAAAATATATTATATATAAGGCATTTCAGCTGATTATCTATTGTTTTTAATGCCTTCGGCACATGAGAAGCGCGACGTTTGAAACAGGCCTGACTAAGTTTGACTAAATTCTTCTTAATATAAACTGATGTCATTTTTAAAACTCATTGTTTAGTCAAAACCCAGTACCTCGTTTGCATTTGACCAAAATTTTCATATTCATCAAAACACTTCTTTAATCAATTCAAACTCATTGTTTTGATGACAGAAAAAGTATTTGAGCATACTCATAATGTTAGGAATAGTTTCAAGAAAGTTTAAATTTTGAAAAAAAATGGGCCTGTGGTCGCACCCTTTGCATTTAACCACACTATAATAAAGAGTTTTTAACACACGTTTTTATCATTTCAAACCATTGTTTTGATGAAAGAAAAGATTTTTAGACGAGATAAACTGAACCCCTAGGAAATACAGTTTCAAAACAGAACTGATAGAGCTATCCTAATGCAATAATTTCATACCTTGATAAGCACAAGCTATCTCAACATTCACCGTGTTGTTACAAAATATTTGTGGCGAGATTGTAAAATACTTCTTTCCATTGAGAAAGCATTTTCTCTGAGTAAACTCTGGATCTGAGGCATTGAACGTGACTGGCGTGAACTCCTTTCCCTGGAATTTCATGGTTAGATCAAAACGAGGCTCTGTGATTCTGTAAGGTGTTGGCTTCACTGAACTTTTGACAAGGACTACTGTGTCTGCGTTGTTCAGAAATAACAGCGATATACATGTGTCTGAAAACAATATATAGTGTTAAAACATTCAGTTAAACTGTTGCAAATGTCGACTGTCTTTTCTGTTGTTCTGTGCTGTGCTGTTCTGTGCTGTGCTGTGTTGTGCTGTGCTGTTCTGTTCTGCTCTGTTCTGTTCTGTTCTGTTCTGTTCTGTTCTGTTCTGTTCTGTTCTGTTCTGTGCTGTTCTGTTCTGGGTGGAAATGGTAGGGTGGGGGAGGTGGGAAAAGTTTAAGGGAGGCGAAAAACATTTAGGAAAAGGTGCAGCGGTCTAACTCACAGTGCCAATGGGATGTTTGGGATAATAATGTATCCCACCCCTAAAGTCAACGACGTGACGTATGCATGTACTGTATATATGTATCAACGTATTTATGAAATATGACTGTATGACTCATCCAATTTTGCCGTTTACATTACATTACTACAAAGTTTCTTTCGAAACATTGCATTAAAAGGGTGTTTTACACGGAGAAGCTATCACTTCTTACAAAATGTAGACCCTAAGTAACACTTAAAAAATTGTCAAACTATTTCACTTTGATCTATCATTTAACCTTTCCAAGAAGAGATGCATGTCTAAGATAAGGTACACGACTTTTCAAGGGAGGTGCAAAAAATCTCAGGACATTATCCTTTTCTCTGCACTATATTTCCTCGAAATTTCACTGCTCTTAGCCAATCAGAATTGAGAAATTTGTTTATATATATTATTAGCCATGATATATTATTAATTACCAGTGGGCGTCTTCGTTATGTTCTTTGGCTTTTCCATGATTGGGACATATTTAGGCTGCGTACAATTATCGACAGGTTCGACATAAAAAGAACAGTTTCGTATATAATTGACACTTTCATCATCATGTAACAATCTCATTTCGTAACGACGGCGTCCGATCAAGCCGCCAATACAGAAGGCCCGCGCCCAGTGACGAGCGGCTGACAGCGTGAAAAATGAGGTCCCTGGAGCGCTGACTCTGTGACGTTCGGTAAAACTTGACTCGTATCCTGGTTTTGAAAAAGACTGCAGTTAACAACTAGTAAAGTGACAAAAACTAACGTGTGTCACAGACCTTACTATTGTGACACAGACTACAAAAATCTAACTAAAGGCCTGTTTAAACGGATGCAATATGTTGTACCAACATCACCCAACATTGTTGTGTCCAACATGTTGGGTCCGTTTGAACACCATGTTGGATATTGTTGCATTATGTTGGATGATGTTGGATCAAGTTTGATTTTGTTCAAACTTTTCATCCAACATCATCCAACATTTGGCGAAAAACCAGTACAACGTCATCGTTTCCATTGATATTTTCATTATTTAAATTTGACAACACAAACTTACGTGATATAGTTTTAAAAAAATTCCCTTATTCATACTAACGATTGAGGTAAAAGTCTAATACTGACAATAATTTTAACATATACAGAATGTAAGCAAGAGTAGCCATCTTGAAAACATGAAAACGATAACATTGAAATTTGAAAATCTATGCGTATTTAATTAATATACAGTAAATACTGTCCAATCAACACACAGGTCATACTGTTCTTTGCATAATTATTTCCAAACAGAATTTTGTACTAATTGACTGCTAAAAGTTGTTGGATTGTAGCATACGTTTGAATACGTTGACCAACAATCGTCCAACATTGTTGGTCCAACAATGTTGGACAATGTTGCATCCGTTTAAACAGGCCTTAATCGAAATTAGACCATAGTTTGTCAAGATATGATGATCTGGAAGCCCAGCAAACTTCAAAGGCACAAAATAGAAAACCTTTGTTTGATGTTGAACTGTATCTCACCGTGACAATCCTTTGTCTCAACTTCATTAAATATTATTCATAATTTCTCAACTATTCCCAGAAGTTTATAGTAAGGGGGCCATACCTTATTGATCCACTGTTAATATACAGGGTGTCCGAAAAAAAAGTGACACTATAGAAATTATCCTATTGTAATAATTTGAATGCCCTAGCACTAAGTTGATCCCACAGGTGCATAAACGTCTGCTTCTGGAATTTAAAATAAAAAAGCAAACCGTTTATTAGTGTAATCGTTTTGCTTGACAAAGCGAAAACGTTTTAAAATACTTAAATGTAAATAAAAGTTCATTAAATTCCCAGGCGTGTAATCACGCGCGTTTAAGAGCGGCTTAAGAACAATGAGATAATTTCTATAGTGTCACTTTTTTTTGGGACAGCCTGTAGTAGGAAACCTAAACTAAAGTGGCTTAAATTTTAAAGAATAACTCTATCACAAGCCTGCAAATAATTATTTTCCTTGGAACAGAGTAAAAGGGGTGGGGACAGAGTAAAAGGAGTGCAACACCCCCCTCCCCAGTCGTTAGGTAGTCGGCAAATTATTGTATCCCAGTCGGCAAACTGTTTTCCCAGTCGGCAAAACATGAATTGGATTGGAAGAGTGAAAAAACTAAAATATTTTAGTAAAACTGATCAAAAACTAATAATTATACCTGAAATTTGGGAACATTTAATTAAGGAAAAGAAAATGATAAATATAATGTCCGGAAAATTTTCAAACCGCAATTTTAGAACGAAAACTGTTTTAATATACACGAGTGGAAATGAGTCGGCAAAATTTCACTTACACCTCCCATTAAAATAGGGCTAGCGTCGTCCTTGAACCTAAACTGTTCTAAAACTTACCAAAGTCAGAACTGCCGTTGTATTTCTCCACCACAAACTTGTCATCCCTTTGCATCAAGTAATATCCATCGCTGTTCACAAGTTCAAATGAAACTGTTTTGCTTTCGTTGTAAGTCGAATTATTTGGCAAATTTCCAGGTGTGTGCGGGAGCCAACATGAAGCAGTCTCGCCCAGAACTATTTGATTTCCATGTACTGTTATTGCGAGGTTGTTCCTGTAGTCTTTGTGGGGCTTCATTGAGTACAGACGAATTGCACCTCTGTGACCTGTTGAAGTTAAAATCTCATATTTATACTTACACTCGTTTTCAAAATTACGCGATCTCCCTGAAAAATACTCTTACTTCAAATGTCAGTTTTATGTCACAAAAACAGCTAAAAATAGCAAACGTAAACAAACTGTCAATAGACATTTTAAACCGTATTTAATACCAAAACTGGACAAAAATGAGTTAGCTAACTTAGATATACAAACTAAAGCACAATACAAACCATCACAACAGAAATATGTGCCGTGAATAACTTTTAAAGTTTGAAAAATAACCAGGGATGCCGGAACTGGGGGGGCAGGGGGGGGGCTGCCCCCCTTGCCTTTTGCTAGGGGGGGGGGGAAGAAGTGCCCTTTTAGTTGTAAAATACTACGTGATAAATCACATTTCCAATGAGATTCAGGTAATTTATAGTTTATATTTATAAACATTTTGGAAAATTTTTGGAATTTAGAAAAATATTTTGAAGAAATGGCGAAAATTTAAGAATTGCTGAAAAAGTTTTGATTTCAGGGAAAATTTTGGTTTGTCCGGAAAAATTTTTTGACCCCTAAAAAGGTGGTGGTGGTGGGGGGGTAATTTTGAAAACGGGTGTAAGTGCTTATGCAAAATAGTTTGTTAGGCCACTACAAGTTAATCTTTAGTCCTTTCTCCGCAAAGTATTATTTCAGGACTATTTTGTTATGTACAATTAATTTCTAGTTCTTGAAAATTTGTGCGAAGGATTTAACTTATAGAACGATAAATATTCAATTTATACCAAAAAGATCTAGCAAAATGTATTGTTGAATGATAAAAACCGCTGCTTTATCGATATTACGAGGTAAAAAATTAAACTAGAAATATTAATAGATCATTTTGATATGTAAAATCCTTTGTAATCTGTCGTACATGTCGATTTATAAATAATATATCTATATTATGCAATTTATGTAAAATTTCATAACATTTTGATACAATTAGCATGAAATGGGACAAGAAAGACCACAAAAATGTGGGCAAAGCCACAATTGTAATTATGTCCTATAGTCCTAACCACCCGCCCGCCCGCGTCGTAAACGAAGGTAAGGCCGCCTGGTCGGACCAGAAACTAAAGATTAACTTGTAGTGGCCTTATTGAAGTGTCGGTCTGAGACAGCGTGAGGCCCTATTAAGGTGGGGGACGGGGCAATTCCCCCCCCCCCCCTCTCTGCGGCCCTGCTACCAGCCGATATCAAATCATACACAGATCATAGATCTGTGTTACTATCTAGTAGAGTTTTACAAAAAATTCTATTTGCAATGGTCGATTTTGCAGTATTATCAGGTGAAGAGCCATTTTATGGAAATACTGATAATAAACCATGGTTATTATAAAAAAACTTTGCCGACGTATCTCGAAATAAGTCGGCAGTTCGCCTTACTAATTTTCAGAACACGTCATCATGTACTCATCTTTCCCATCGTGAAAATACTCTGGTTCCAGAGGCTCTTTGCGAGGCGAAAGAAACGAGAGGCGAAGGAAGAGCCTCCGGTCACATCAATTGCAAATCCCTCTTCCACACTTGATTAGGTTCAGAATTTGAATCTCGCATGTGATTGGCCATTTGTAAAAATATGTCAAACCGGTTTGGGAAAACAACATTACTGTAAGCTAATTATAGCTATAAAAGCTATTATTATTGGTAAAAGCAATTTGATTGGCTAAGATCTTACAGTTAAATCGCGCAATCACGCAACCTACAGAAAATTCAGTTATCTGCTAGCAGAAATTGAGTAATCTGGTAAAGCTTATGGGCATTATGGTACTGCCAGTGAAGTGAATATAACTGGAACACTATCTTCAGATAAAATGCCTATCTTTTTCTTGAGCCAAATCTTACACGCGTGTTTATGCCTCGTGATTCTCTCGCGATACCGAAGACCCGCATGTTTATGCCACGCGATTCTCTCGCGAGACCAAATACCCGCGTGTTTATGCCTCGCGATTCTCTCGCGAGACCGGTTCAGGGAGCGAGGATGTATTTTAAAAAGAACAAAAATAAAAGTACTATAATAAACTCGAAAATTTTAGCTAAATAAATGCATTAATAGAAAGTTGTTTTCAGCGTTTTAAATTGGTTTTCATGAATACATATTCTTGTTCACGGATTGACCGAGCTCTTCGCATGCGTGAAAAGACAGGGACTGGCAAGTTTGATTTCAAATTTCCGGTTGAAGATAGCGTTCCAGTTAAATTAATTTTACTGGGTACTGCATGTCACAACGACACATGACACATACCAGCAGCAGACCAGCCATTCATCAACGTAGCGTGTGCGGTTAGATTCATTTTTTCAACCACTTCAGTAATATTGACCTCTTCGATATATCTTGTCTTCGGCTTCTTGCCATTTCCTGTCGGTAGTTCAGTAATCTTTAATGTTTCTTCAACCGCTTTTTCTGCCGCCTTTTTTGCCTCCTCTGCCGCTTTCTTCTTCGCTTTCTCGAGTACGTCCTGTCCAGCTTTGATACCGGCCGCTACACCTGCGTCTAACGGGTCTGTCGTTTTACCTTCTACAAATAAAGGTGTGCACACCATTAAATATGTTTCGGCGCGCTTGTGTTCAAACGAATGTTTAACCTTCAAAAATGACGAAAATGTACTATTTTAATTATGCGAAAAGTTACTATTTTGCCAACTTTGAGCTCCCCTAACTCAAAACCGACTTAGAATTCGCACTACTCGCTTTCATGTTTTATATATACTTTTGTGCGACCCTTCTAATGGTATAGTTTATTTTTGTGAAAAGTAAACTTGAAATTTAGCATTTTTGTTAACATTGTACTTTAATGGACCTTTAACCTTATAACTAAAATTTTGATTTAGACAAAAATTTCATCACAGCTTGAAAGAGCATCACAAAATTAGTAATATTCCAAAGTTTCGTTGTGAAATGTTGTAAAATGCGGATAATATAGCCTTGCGAAGTTTGCAATTTTCAGTCATTTTAGATTACAAACGGGAAATTGATACCCAAACACAGATTTGGGTATCAATTTCCCGTTTGTAATCTAAAATGACTGAAAATTGCGAACTTCGCAAGGCTATATTATCTGCATTTTACAACATTTCGCAACGAAACTTCGGAATATTACTAATTTTGTGATGCCCTTTCAAGCTGTGATGAAATTTTTGTCTAGACTTGTCTAGATCAAAATTTTTGTTATAAGGTTAAAGGTCCATAGGCAACATTTTAAAATTCTCAAACTTTCGGATGTAAAGTCAAAATCAGAGATGCCAACATATATAGTCTTCTTTACAAATGCATATACTCAAAGAAATGCCAGTAATAAATATATCCACAATAATCCAAGATGGCGGACAGCTCGCTGATTTATGATGATTGTCGTGAAAATATTTCGAGAACTAAGCAAAATTTGAAGAAGCTGTAAAAACGTTTTGTACGTAATTTTGAAAGTTCTTTCAAATGAGACAAATTAAATTATTATTGCCATATATCGCTTAAACGGAGAAAGCTTCGGGATGAATACAACTTCCTGAGAAACACAAGGAGAACTTCGACGTTCTACTAGCTTCCCGACAAAGGGCCTACGCACGAAACGTCGAAGTTCTCCTTGTTCTTTTCAGGGGTGTGTGGCGAGGTGGGTGTGACATCCACCCAAGGTTTAATAAAGATCAGAGACTCACAGATGAAATCAAGTGAAAGTGACAGAAAGAATTAGAGCAGTTGTTTTTGCAAATGGGCACCATGCGAATTTTGCCATTTGTCGTGCTACTTATGCCAAATAAAAACAACGTACGCGTGCTCCAGCCCGATTTCCGGTTCTGAAAGGCCCGATGCGCAGGCAAACAGTGCGCGCAAAGCAAGCTCGTCAGTTCCCGTTGTTTAACTGCCCCACGCTCAAGTAACCACAAAGACTCACAGATATCCGTGAATCAAAAATGGTATTATACTCGGGCAAATTTTTTCCTCATGTTGGGCTGTATGTCAGGCAAAGTGGTTGAAGTCATCTGAGGTAAAGATAGAAAAGTTCACGAATTTCATCGCAGATTGTTTGGTGACCACACCTTAATTTGTCGGGCAGGAACTCGCCCCCCCCCCCTAATACGTGCAGTCAATTTGCGCCTCCTGGCTTTCATATATCCCTTAACCTACACTTACTTTCTTTTGAAGATTTGTAATAAAAATAAAGGAATCGCTCTCCAATGGGTCCAATAAACTGCCCATTTTCTATTAGCACTGCGACTTTAAGAACATCTTTACCAAATAGATGCTTATGCACGGTTTCCATGTAATAATATTCTCCTTTGATCATTGGAATGGGTGGGGAACGTTGGCTGTCGTATCTAGAAAAGGTGAGAGCAAGATAAAGATTTAAAAAAATACTTCCAGTGGGTGATTCCAGCTGTAGACTAAATCTTGATCCAGGCAAGAAGAACGAACTCCAACACAGCTAGAAAGAGCGTCTTAGAATGAGTGAAACTGCAAAGTTTGGTTGCGAAATGTTGTAAAATGAAGAAAATATAGCCCTGTGAAGTTCGCAAATTTTGTATATATTTGTATTACGCGCGGTAAAAATAACCACTTTCGGCTCAAAAATGGTTATTTTTCCCGCGCGTAAT